CAGTGCAAGATCGGCATCATGCCCGGCTTCATCCACAAGCGCGGCCGCATCGGTATCGTCAGCCGCTCCGGCACCCTGACGTACGAGGCCGTCAACCAGACCACCCACGCCGGCCTGGGCCAGTCGCTCGTCGTCGGCATCGGCGGCGACCCTTTCAGCGGCACCAACTTCATCGACTGCCTCAAGGTCTTCCTCGAGGACCCGGAGACGGACGGCATCATCATGATTGGCGAGATCGGTGGTTCCGCCGAGGAGGACGCCGCTGACTTCATCCGCGAGAACAACACCGTCAACGGCGGCAAGCCGGTTGTGTCTTTCATCGCCGGTATCTCGGCGCCCCCCGGCCGCCGCATGGGCCACGCCGGTGCCATCGTGTCCGGTGGCAAGGGCGGTGCCGACTCCAAGATTAAGGCCCTGGAGTCTGCTGGCGTCATTGTCGAGCGGTCGCCCGCCGGTCTGGGCAAGGCCCTCCGTGACGAGTTCGTCAGGCGCGATCTGCTCTAAAATACAAGCGCTGTTGTATCATGGTAATGCTATCCCGGCGCTGGCCTTGTACATGTCGATCCTTTCTTTTATCACTGCGAGTGAATGCGGAGGTGGCTAAAGAAGAGCGGTTAGTTGTGAGAGTAAGGAGACTACGCTCAGGGAGCGGGGTGAAACTGAGGCATTCGCACACTTATAGACTGGGGGAACTTGGTGGTCTGGCATAATATGTTGTGCATTATGAGCCTCTTGTTTTTATCGTGCGTTTCACCAACTTGCTTCGAGGTTTATCTGTTTATGGGTTTATGCTGTGATCTTTTCCCGACCCCGAGGCCGCATTCGGAAGACTGGCGCATGAACCACGACATATCTTTACTGATGGCCCGGCCGGGCAGTGTTTCCAGGTTGGCCTGATCGGGTTGGGGGTGACGGTCTTAATGTCGGCTTCCTTCAACACAGCCACAACAGAGCCGGGGAGATGTTGCTCTGCCAAGGAGCAAACTTTCGTCTTCCTCCGCGAAACAACTCACCGCACTCGATGCTCCCCGAAACGGTGGGTTCAGGGCTGCCAACTCGGTAAGGTGGCGTTGAGACATGTTCGAAACAAATGCGTTGCATTTTGGATTTCGTCTAAGTAATGTAATAAAATGAAAACAAGCACGGTGTCCCATGAAATTGTTCGCCTGTGCGCCGTCCGTAAACTCCTTTCCTTATGCGTATAGGGACAAGTAGGATCCGGCTCTGCCTGCCGGATGCCCCCCTTTCTCTCGCACCTGTGTCAACCGCCCAGTGGAACGTAGCTAGGCAGATACGCGACGCTCCATTCCCTGATTATTTGGGACGTCGGTTGGTCCTGCTACTGCTCGCCGAGCAGCCGAGCGGTGATGTCACCCATATACGCCTCCTCCAGCTCATAGTCCTCGCCCCCGTTGCGGTCGATACCCACGAAGATGAACGCATCGACCACGGCGTCAACCTCGAAACCCATATTGACAAAACGATCCACCAGTTCCTTATTGTATCCTTTGTACCTGTAAGAGATACGGCAAACGGCCGTCTATTGTCAGCACGGTCCTTGGCCCATGGCTGTTCATGTCTTCAACCCCAGTCAAGACGTCATCATATCCAACAGAAAACGTACCGTGTCGGGTCATCCTTAACAGCAGGCGCGGCTGACTTCTCGTAGTTGTGTGTGAGCGTCTCCCTCCGCGGGGCGCCGGCGTACTTGACCGCCCAGTCGTGAGCTTTGGCGGCAAACTCGTTCGGTTGTTCCATCATCATCTTGGCCACCTCGGCGTCTTGCGGGTCCTTGGGGTTCGGCGATTCGAGCAGCATGCGCAGTGAGATCAGCGCCATCTTAATGGTGCCCACGGGCGACCACCCTGAACCAAGAGTGTCGAGGCAGATAGCTCCCTAATAGCACTGCGAGTTAGCTTCTGTCGCCCTACCCCTTGATGCCCTCCCGTTTGCCCTGCCCCGCCTTCCGTTTGCTCTTGCTTTACTGTGACGCTCGGACCTACCGTCACACTGCTGACGTTCGGGTGCCAGATCTTGGTGTCGAACTTCATGATGGGCGACTTGAACGGGTACATGTCGGGGACGACGATATCGATTTGGTAGGATCCTCCCGCATATGGTGTGTCGGGCGGCCCTGGAAAGGTTCCCTTGAGGTGCGTCAAGTTGGAGGGGTCGATGGGGTTCGCCAGCACGCCCGAGTTATCCTTGTCATTGTGAATGTCGGCTAGTTCCTTCGCAATCCGGCGCTCGCGAGTGGTGGCCATGACGGTCGACGATGTCCAGGGACTGGAGTCGGAGCACTGATGGTTGTGGTTCGGCTACACCTGGTTGAGCCTGCGGTTTCGCGGCAGAAGACGATGGGATGGGTGGGGAGACCACCAGGTGGGCAAGTACTTAGGTACTTCTTGGAGGGGTAGCGGTGAAAGGTGGTTCGCTGCAGCCAAACCTGTGACAATGGTAAGGGGAGGCTTGTTGGTATTTACAACCTAGAAAGTAATAAACCCTACTTGACGTTGCTGTGAATAAAAGCCCGGTTTGATCAAACCATTATCGCAACGAAATCTGGAACAAGGTCATCGGGGCTTTTTATCAGGTTCTCGGTCGGGCTTTCCGTCTCCCGTACAAACGCAAGCAACAAACAGACTTCATTGCGGGCCAGATGACTTAACGGTAAGGCGCTTCAGATCTCAGCTCGGAAACGGGAAAACAGCCTTGGTACATACAAGGCGGCGCAGCAGCCCTGCAACATCATTAATAACGCCCGACTCAGGCTCTTACACGGGGCAGTACAGATTACATACACATTACAGATTACACCAAGGTGATGGTGGGCTGGAAAAGACGGCCCGGTTGATGTCATTGGTGGTGGAACATCCTCAGACCCACTCCCTGGTTGGCGCGTCGCTCTGCCGCCTGGCGGCTCCCAACAAAGCTCACTGGCACCTCAAGCTTGCACTGACCATCGACATCACACCCCGACCAACAAACCCCAACACCCGCTGTGAGATCGCTCATCGCACGCATCATCAAACCACGCCTTGGGGGCATTCAGTAACACACTTTGTGTGTAAATAAACCTCGTAACACCAAAGGCGATCGTTTGCCCCGTCGCTTCGACCGAGGTCGCACACCGGCACCATGGTACAGTTGGCCGAGTCGAGCATGGTCGCTGAATGGGTTCTGACGATCTTTGTAGGGCCAGAATCAATCCGGCATGGGCGGTGGTATGGGTGGGGGTAAGGACGGGCGAGATGACAAGGACAAGAAGGTTCGGGTTCCCGAGGATCGAGGTGGCCATCCGCCATCGTCAACCCAGCCGTCGCCGAGTATGTTGCTGACTAGCCTCGCCACCAACAGAAGGACAAGCCCAAGTATGAGCCACCCCCGAGGCCGACCGCGCGCATCGGTCGCAAGAAGAAGAAGGCTGGCGGCACTAGCGCTGCCGCAAAGATGCCGCCGGTCTACCCGACGAGTCGATGCAAGCTCCGACTACTGCGCATGCAGCGCATCCACGATCACCTCCTACTTGAGGAGGAATACGTCGAGAACCAAGAGCGCCTTCGGAAAGCGAAGGCCGTCAAGGACAACTCCGCCCCCACTTCAGAGCTCGAATCCACAGACCGTGTCGCCGACGAGCGCAGCCGTGTTGACGACATGCGGGGTAGTCCGATGGGGGTCGGCACGCTCGAGGAGATGATCGATGACGACCACGCCATCGTCTCTAGCACAACCGGGCCGGAGTATTATGTCAGTATCATGAGCTTCGTTGACAAGGATCTGCTGGAGCCCGGCGCCAGCGTACTGCTGCACCACAAAACCGTCAGCATCGTCGGCGTCCTCACAGACGATACAGACCCGCTTGTGAGCGTCATGAAACTAGACAAGGCGCCCACAGAGTCGTATGCGGATATCGGTGGTTTGGAACAGCAGATTCAGGAGGTGCGGGAGTCCGTCGAACTACCTTTGTTGCACCCTGAGCTGTACGAGGAGATGGGCATCAAGCCACCCAAGGGTGTCATCCTGTACGGTGCGCCCGGTACCGGAAAGACGCTTCTTGCCAAGGCCGTGGCCAACCAGACCTCTGCTACATTCTTGCGCATTGTCGGAAGCGAGCTGATCCAGAAGTACCTCGGTGATGGTCCCCGGCTGGTCCGCCAGTTGTTCCAGGTAGGCTTTACCCAAATATTCGCTGCGAGCTTGCGCTGATGCACTCTAGGTCGCCGCTGAGAACGCCCCTTCAATTGTGTTCATCGACGAGATCGATGCTATTGGCACGAAACGTTACGACTCCACATCGGGTGGCGAGCGTGAAGTGCAGCGGACTATGCTAGAACTGCTTAACCAGCTTGACGGTTTCGACGACCGCGGTGACGTGAAGGTTATCATGGCCACCAACAAGATCGAGACGCTCGATCCTGCCCTCATCCGACCTGGCCGTATCGACCGCAAGATCCTCTTCGAGAACCCCGACCAGAACACCAAGCGCAAGATCTTCACACTGCACACGAGCAAGATGTCTCTGAACGAGGACGTTGACCTAGAGGAGTTTATCGCCCAGAAGGACGACCTCTCTGGCGCCGACATCAAGGCCATCTGCTCCGAGGCCGGTCTCATGGCTCTCCGGGAGCGCCGCATGCGCGTGCAGATGGCCGACTTCCGCTCTGCCCGGGAACGGGTGTTGCGCACGAAGCAGGAGGGTGAACCGGAGGGCTTGTATCTGTAATGTCCGTGTATGAGGAGAAGCCGGCCGCTTAGCGGAGGGCTAGCAGAATGCAAATAGACAAGCGAACCTCCAAGTCGAAGAAGATGTTGCTGGGCATCATCCTGTGCCCTCTCCTTCATCGAACTCTGCGGAGATGTGACGTGACTTGCGTGGAGTGGCCCATATGACGTAACAACTAACCCCGCCACCCTTGCCTCCATCGCCAACCTAACAACAGCGGTTGCTTCACCACTCTGAGATGTTGCATGCAAAAAGGTATGTCGAAGCAAAAGGAAAGTGGGAACTGTGAGGCTCGAACTCACGACCTCAGGATATTTTCGATTTGCCACCGAATCATACAGCAGTATGAGACCTGCGCTCTTCCAACTGAGCCAAGCTCCCTTTGTGATTCGTTGACAGAACTGAGCCAGATTTTGGCCCCACATCACCAGGTTTGCCCGACGCCAAGTCGTCCAGTCAACGACATTGTTTGTATCACCCCTTGATGTACCCCTGACTCCTTATTTTGCAAGTGAATTCCGCTGTGGGGGGCATAAAATCAACATCTGAGACTGGGACGCTAGTTACATTGTGGACCGTGGTATATAATGAAGGGAGACTATATCCTATCAAGCAACATTGCGCTATATGGGGTAAGATAATTGCGGTGTTGATCGTGATATCGAGTATGAAAGGTTGCAAGGGGCACGGACTCTCAGATCAGTTTCCTTTTGACAGTGAGATTTTGATTTATACGAAACCACCAACACGAAGCGAGCTGAGGGAAATCGAAGCCTTAACGAACCCTTCTCACACTTCCGTCCACGCCCTACACACCTAACTACCAACCAAGCACTTCGCCCCAACAGCGTTCCCCTCATCCCAGAACGCAATGAAGGAGGTTGGAAATTGCCTAGGATCGCCGCTTCCCAACCGTGCATAAGCTGCAGAGTCTGGGACTCTTGGTTAGCGGCCGCAAAGTGTATGCAGCAACTTGAAGGACGGCGCCAATGGCCTGCTACTTCAAGTGGCAAATTGCCTACTGAGAGGTCAGCAGCTCCCCCAGTCGTCCAAATGGCGAATACCAGCGGCCATGGGTAATCTCCGCATTACCTTCTTCCATCGTGGGACGTACGCTGCGGGCCGTGGCGCCGCGAAGCGTGTTGGAGCCACGGTTATACTGACCCTCTATGATATCGATGTTCCGTCTAAGCGGAACCGGGGCGGAGCCTGCAGACAGCAGGACCCTAGACGGGCGTAGTACAAGTTTCCTGATCTGATTCGCGGTGCGATAAGCCGGCTGTGCGAAGTTGATCTAGTTGTTTATTCTCAGCAACACCCTTTTTAACGTATGAGAGGTGCGTTAGCTAATGCGCAGGATAGGTGCTGAAATGTTCAAATTTGTCGTACAAGTTGCCCCCATACTAAACCCCCAAGCTCCTGGCATCATTCAAGGTATAGAGGACAAACAGGAAAAACTACACTCAGTCAAGGGGTTGAGATGAAACGATTTTGGGAGTGTGCCAGCAGCAGCCTTGTGATGTGCCGCGGGCTAAAAAAGAAAAGAAAAAAGATCATCTTCACACAGTCAGGGACGTACTTGACGGATGTCTGGATTGAGTCACTAACTGCCTTCCCAAGACCTACCTTGGGTATTATGATGTGCTTTCTAGGGTTCAACCGACGGTCGACTGCTTTGGCTACTCAGCCCTCGGAAAGTAAGAATGTAAGATTATGAGCCGGTCTCGAAACTTCGTCACGTCCTTCAAGTTCCAAGTTGTTACTGTTTTAAAACGGGTCGTATGATTTTCACGCCGTGGCATAAGAAACACCGAAAGCTGTTGTCCCGATAGTGCTGCGTAATGGATAACCATTAGAGATTCAATCTTATATGGTTTCTCTATCGTTTCAAGAAGATTTGAATTTATAGGTTTTCAGTTGTGTCGAAACTTCGCGGGTCATACCTAAGGAAGCATCTAATACAACGTAGTGGTAAAGGACACGCAAGTAGGTGCCCCGTCATGTACACTTTTGCGGGTTGAACTAGGGGGAAGCGGACAGGATTCTGTACTTTACAAGAGGTCGGTCTTTTCCTCCATTCTCTTTGGTGCAAATTATGAGAGTTCGGGAGCCGATATAAGGATGCATACAGCAACTGCTGGCTGAGCCATATTATCATTTGTTTTTAAACCTGGAGCGAGTGAAGGTTGATCCCCACTGTTAAACGTCATGTAAAGTAGTGGAATTATAGAATATACTTGGTCAAATGTTGACGAGATTTCCTCTTTTGTTAAGTTGGTAGATAACCCCAAGTTCGTACAGAACCCAAATCTCTAGTTTGTAGCCATGGAACGAGGTAACAAGGGATATTGGAGTACTAGTATGGGTATGGGATCGTGAACTCGGATATGGTAGTCCCAAGTCATTTGCCATTGCCCTCTTAACTTTAGGTACGATAGAAGGAGGATCACAGCAGTGATTCGCCGAGTGCACAGCCAACTCCTCGCACTTAGGCACTGGAGAGAACATATGCAAAGCAGAAAGAACATGCAAGATCACCCTGTTGAACGCCTGGGCTTCACCCCAAGACTTAATATTAGGGTAGGGTTACGGGAACAACCTAGTCCCCATGACATCACAGCCCGGGAGAAACAACCGAGGACTGGCACACCTGTGATGTAGGCACACATGGGTTGATAGCAGGTAAGGACCTAGGTAGGATCAGGGGTGTTGAGGTTGATTCCAGAGTGCCAACGCCGTCTCCAGCTTACAAACAAGACCTTTTGGTTTTGGATAGACAGCCAGTCGCTTTTCTATTTTAGCACGTCTTCTACCCTCCTCCACACCTACACCCGACACGTCATCGTACCCACCCCGGCAGCTCCCCATCGCGACCTGATCCCGGGGGCTACAGCAAGCGACATGGCGTTTGTTGCCCAGTCCCGTAGGTTACTTCGAGTGTTCCGGGCGGCTCGGACACTTGCCGAGATCAGGTCACAGAAGAGTTTCAAGACATTGTCAGATGCTTCGTTTCACCAGCCCACCTGGGCTCGTCCCTTTGCATTCACAACTAACTGGCCCCGGTATAGATTATGGTCATTTATTCAGCATGAGCGGGGCACTGGCCGAGGCGTTCGGCGGTCATATCGAGAGGCCTGACTTAACAGCGCCTCTGCCCAACAACATCACGAAGCCTTTCCGCCAGAGCCGGGTATTTCGTTTTGTGCTGTCTTCGTCCCATGCAACCTCGCGTCTCCATTGGTTGATCTCATGTATTTATGAGGTCCCAAGCCTGGGACACACAGCGACTCAGATAGCCATTGCCTATCCCCACCATCCACGCAAATGAAGTTGATGCCCGAACCACCGCGCCAATCTAGAGGGAAATCGCATAAAGGACAAGGAGGTGTGCGAGTTGGCCACTATCTCTAGTAGCCAAAGGCCTGGAGGGCCTCGGTCGTCTTCGTGTCGACCTTCGCGGTCTTCTTCGCCTCGGAGAGCTGCCTCGCGGCGAGCTTCTTGCGCTCGTAGTAGGCGGCGCCCTTGGCCTTGCGCCTCTCCTCAAGCCTGTCACAGGGTCAGTATTTCGGCGTGTTCCCCGGACCCGTAAGAGCGGGGCCCGTTCGGAGATCGCATGCGGAACATACCTCTCGACAACGTCCTGGTACTTCCAGCCGACCTCGTGGCTGAGACGACCGACGGTGCAGTACTTGCGGCCGGGCTGCAGTCTCAGGACACGGAGGGCCTGGGGAACAACCATCTTCTTCTTCTTGTCGTACGGGGGCGGGACACCCTCGAAGACCTTGAGGCGCTCAAGGGCGGCGGCACCGCGGGCGGTCTTGTGGGGGATCATGCCGCGGACAGCCTTGTAAAAGATGCGGGAAGGGGCGCGGAAGTGGAAGGGACCTGTGTGCGGTTAGAATCGCCTGGTCGCGGAGCCATCGGCTGTGCATGTTCGACTCACCACCGCGAGTGGGGTTGTACCGGGTCGCCTTGCGGAGGTAGGCGTGGTACTTGACTGTTCCCGACCGTTAGCATCTCGTTCTTGTTTCCATCATGGTGTTTTCCCCCTTCATCCGAGCAGCAGAAACCCAAGCGCTCCCTGTTCCCGTCCCAGCCCGTCCCTCCCCAGCCCCGCCTCCATCCTGACAGCCGAAAACCCGCCCAATGCCGAACAATGAAAGGTGGTACGTACGCTTCGCGCGGAAAAACTCGCCGGAGATGTTGAGGTCCTCGCAGCGGACGATGACAATCTTCTGGCCGCTGAGAAGTTGCTTGGCGACGATGCTGGCCAGGCGGCCAAGCAGGTGGCCCTTGCCATCGATCACGACCTGTTGCGCATCGCTGTTAGCACTCCTGCAATCCCGGCTCCCAATGTTCCCGCGACTTCGTCGCCGCCAAGTCACCCGTCGGTGCCGTTGCTTGCTCCTGTGATTGCATCGCCAACTGGGAGCGGCCGGCGCTCGCGCGGGTTTCGAGGTGCATGAGTTGAGGGAAGCTGAGGCGTACGTACCACAGACTCGAACGAAGACATTTTGGCGTGATGACCTGGGCTAAAAGAAAGAAAGAAAAGGTTGATCAGTCACACTCCGGCTGATCGAGTAGCAGCTGGCTGCTTCCTTACCCTTGTGATGGTTGATGGTCGTTCTTCGACTTTTTTGTGTGTGCTGAAAATTGGCCTTGTGCAGCCAACCCGGCGAAAATGCGCTAGGCCGAATTCGGAGCGGGTGGAGGTCGGCAAGCGAGTGCTGATTGTGGCCTGAGGCAGCGTGCGATAGGGTTAGACCTACCGCGCCCGGATGGGTGGGGCCTCGACTTTCCTTCCCCAGACCCACCAGTTGGGTTTCGCGATGGCCGAACAGCTGCCAGTCTGGGCATCTCACTCCTTCGAGCTTGAGCTTGTGTCGTCCGTGATTACTAGGTATCTAGGGATCTACTTGTGTAGGGATGCACACCAAACTTGAGTTTGGTAGCTATGGCTCGTGGATTTGAGTTGTCATCCGCTCCAGAATGCAAGTTTATTATCTTATTATGAGACGGGATGCCAATCATCCAAGGGAGGCTGAGGGCTAGTTGACCTCCCAAATTACAGAAAGAAATGACAAAGGAACAAAATTTGACATCTTGTGCTTGACATGCTGATGCTGGAAATGCGCTAGGCTCGCACATAGTGGGAAGTAACCGTCTGAGTCTCGCTATGCTGTCTGCATAAAAAGAAAAACGTAAGAAGACTGACTACCTACACAAGAACAGAAAAGACGGGGATGGTAAAAAGGCAGTCAGTGAGAGGTTGGAGTTTGGGTTTGTCCCAAAAAACGTGTCTGTGCCGTGGGTAGAAGCCCAGGAGTTTCATGGGTTACTATGTTGCGCTCTTCGCAGCATCCATCTTGTTCAAGACGCCC